TAAGTCGGATTGTTTTTCATCCGCACAACTAGCTGTTAACCAATTCTTAAAAATCCATATGTCAAAGGCCTTTGTTGAAGAGTAATTAACACTTAACGGTGGTTCAAAGGAAAAAAAACCTAAGTTATTCTACTCAATAAACGTGTAGGATTATCGCAAACTTCAGCTTTCCTTTGAATCTTCTACAGTGGTTCTTTTATAAATGTTCGAATACCGACACAAACATTTTCAGTGATATTATTGCAATCAATAATAAACCTCTAGAAAACTTTGGACAAAGAATCGCATACCCTTATTAGTAAAGACACAGCATCCCCTAAGGTTTCGTGGAATCATCGAACTGACGGAATTGTGTCCGTTTACTTCTACTGCAACTTCTAAAACTGTTTACAGTTCCTCTGGACACGTGCACTAGTCCTAACTATTGAAAAACCATACAAACAATACTTTCTTACAAATCTATAAACAAGACTGACTAAGATGGTTATCGGCCTGTGAATATTACCCCGGTTATGCCAAGAACAATACAAAATATTGTATGTTGCGAAATTTCTGACCACTAATTCACTGGAAAACACAACACTCATTCATAACACGGCTTCCCTGGAACTAGATCTCGCATCTTAATTTGTTTAGCTTAGTCTCCACTGAATGTTGCATTAGGCAACTAGTTTTATTACTATGTATTGACATTTCTAAAGCCTACGGCATAATTTACCACCAACTCCTTAAAAACAAACTCACATCTCATAGGGTTAGCGATATCTTACTTCTGTGGCTCAATGATTTCCTCAGTCACAGACACTGTATAGTTAAGTGAACTCCTTATAAGACTCTCACACCTTCAAAAGTGGTACAACACGAGGTAGTGTCTCAGGTCTTCTTCTCTTACAAGATTTAAATAAACGATATGTAAGAATACATGTGGTGTTTATATGAACCAATGATTCTTTTGTACTTGATGACTGCTTGATTTTGAATTCCAAATACAATACATTCGTTCGTGTTCATCTAATACTCCTTGATTAAATTGCGTTATTTGTGGAACTCCTGATTTATACTATGATTCGAATACTCCTAATTATCACAATACTTCACTATGGATAAACGATTTCTGTATGCAGACGATTTAAAGGTAATGTATTCATGTTTTTTCATGAGCTTAACCATACGCCAAACTATCTGTATGAATCTCAAAGAAGTTGCTCTGTGATCCTCAAAATGAAACCTAGAACTGTTAAATGTAGGTGCTTTTGTTGTCGTGATTCATTTCTCAATTTCGACTTTACCGTAAACAAAAAGATCGTATCTAGGTAGAATCAGGATGTATTGGTCATATCTTCAACCTCCGCCAAATGTTGGAACACCGTCATACTTATCACAGGCCAACAATCGTAATGTTTTATGATATCAGGGCCGCCTTCGATCCGTTGGACAGAACTGGGTTAGGCAGGGTTGCCCAATCTCACCATTCCTCTTCAACTTTGCCATCGATGACATTCTGGAAACAGCTCTGATGGATGTAAGTAATGGCGGTGTGGACCTGTTGCCTGGAGAAAGACTTCCCGACCGTGAGCATGCAGATGATATTGTCTTACTGCGTAATAATGCCCAAACCATGCGATCCGCACCTAATCAGTTGGCAATTAGTGTCCATAGGCACGGTATGTGCTTTGTACCTTCAATTGCAAAGTATTTCCACAAGACTGGCAGGATTCTAATCCTGTACTCACCCTGAGTGGTGAGCAGATTGAAGTAGTTGAGAAGTTCATGTATCTAGGTAGCTGCATAAGTGCTGGCTGTGGCATGAGTGATGAGATCGATTCACGTATAGTTGAAACCAGAGCGGCTTATGCCAATGTGGGCCATCTTTGGCGCCTTCGTGATGCTAGTTTGACTGTAAAAGCTCGGGTCTGCAACGCATCGGTGAGAGCAGTTTTCCTCTATGCTTGTGAAATCTGGCCTCTCCGAATTGAGGATGTAAGACGATTCTCTGTGTTTGATCATCGTTTTCTCCGAAGAATTGCTGATATCCAGTGGCAACATGTTAGTAATACAGAGGTTCGGCATCGTGTGTTCGGGCGCAGAGACGATAATCCGATTGGTGTCATCATCTTGAAACACTGACTTCAGTGCCTCGGACATGTTCTACGAATGTTGTTCCAGAGAATTTCTCGTCGTCCATTATTTGCCGACTCTGGGACTGGTTGGAAAAAGCGGAGAGGTAGTCAGTGTATGACATGATGTCATGATGTGAAAGAAAGATGCAAAGGGCTGGCTTCTGTTGGCTAGAGATGTTATCAGATATGACTCAGAATAGAGGCCAGTAGCGATCCAGCTGTAACCTTCTTTTAATTTCTTCATAAAGAGTTGTCATAACTTTCTTAACTGAAAGAGTTCTTCTGGTTTTACATTTCTGTTTCCCCCACCATTATTCTTATTATTACGCTAACATAAACTAATCTGTGTTTGTTATTGTTCTTTTCTTCTTACACACACCTTACCCTCTTCCTATTTTCATTGTTTTGTATGGCGCTGAAACTTGATCCTCTATAATAAATATATATTTGTTATATCCCAATGAGTAGGAAAATTGTATTTCTGATGTTTCGTGACTTAATGTAAGCCACTTCTTCAAAGTAAATAAGTAACCGAAATTAAATTAACAAAAGTATTGATCCGTTATAGAATCGGAGGCTTAAATTAAGTTTAATCTTTCTCCTTACAATACTAAACAAATTATATTTTCCATCCACTGATGAAATTCAGTATCCACAATCACCGAGTTACAGTGTCCTTAACTGGTTTTCAAAGGTAAAATTGTCTCATAATAAATCTACTCTCGATAGGGAATATTTTACAAGAGTATATATATATATATATATATATATATATATATATATATATATATATAATAAAAATAATTTTGAAGAACTGCCAATATGTGATCTGTGGTCACATGCGAACAATTAAAACCAGACGCTGAGCAGGTGGAGCATAAATGACAGTTATACGTAATATAAATTAATTCTCTAGCATTGCTTACTTTGGGTATCAGTCAAGAATAGTGCTCCTGAATAACAGACCATGTCTTGCCCGACAATGCCAGATATATATATATAATAAAAATAATTTTGAAGAACTGCCAATATGTGATCTGTGGTCACATGCGAAAAATTAAAACCAGACGCTGAGCAGGTGGAGCATAAATGACAGTTATACGTAATATAAATTAATTCTCTAGCATTGCTTACTTTGGGTATCAGCCAAGAATAGTGCTCCTGAATAACAGACCATGTCTTGCCCGACAATGCCAGATGAAAATCAGGTTGATCGATCATTTGAGAAGATAGAGAATCTCGGTTTTCATTGGAATGTTCGTACAAATATTTCTCAAAATCTGCATCGACTTCTATTTCCTTAGAATCAATTTTGTTAATCACATCGCCCACTGTTAATGATCTACAATCAATACGAAACATGATCTAAAAAATAATTACAGAATTTTATCCGGCAAATTTCGGGCTTAAATACTGCACTGAAATAACTTACTAATATAAACAACCAACCCACTCACACGCTGTTATAAATAAGCAAATTCTTTTAATTAATCTGATTTCGATTTTTATTTATAAAGAAATATACAAGAAGTGAATTCACAATATTTCACCTTACTTCCGCGTGGTTACAGTCAGTAACAAATGACATAAATATAAATGCTATCGAAGGACTATAGAGATGTACCAGTAATGTTTAATGATGATGTTTAAACTGTTGGTTGGGTGAAAAGCCCACATGATGAACAAACTGAAGTTTGTCATCAGAAAATCAGATCATTAAATCCTTGCGTTTGATAAATACCTTTAGTCAGAATTTTTCCCTGTCGAAATATCCAGTCTCAACATTATGAACTTCAAGTATTCTTTTACACATATGATCTCCCAAATAATGACAAGAGGTTACCAAACAGATATGTTAAAATACACGTCCCTCGTGACTTTCGGCATTCTTGTCAAAAGATCTAGGTAAAGAAAACAAATCATTTGATGATACGGTGATCTACCATTAACCAATTTTTAAACTGGTGGTTGGGTGAAAAACCCACATGATGAACAAACTGAAGTTTGTCATCAGAAAATCAGATCATTAAATCATTGTCAGAAGTGTGTTATCAAACGAAGTAACTACAATCAAAATCTCTACGAATTTAGAGACTTTAGTGACATGGTGACAACAATGTAAACATGTTTACCATTTTTCATTCTGCTGATTATGAACAGCTCAGCACTCAATGCGAATTCATTATGATGAGTTATCAAATGATTCCCGTCGTTTAGTTCATTCTAAACGTTATTAATTAGTGTAATCATTCAGTCAATGTTTTGTTACTCAACGCATCTCATCAACACAACGTTATTTAACAGTCGAGTACTTTTGAGCTCTAGTCAAGACTTTTTCCTATTCATAGAACTACTCTATTTTGCACTGTCTTTCATCATTGATACTGCTAGTGCTTGCAGTATTCCTGATTCTTGTGTAACTATTTAAAACAGAAGTTATCAAGGCTCAATTAAATGTTTTAAAATAAAATACGGTCGTCAAGACGTAATTATGAGATAATTCAGTTTAAATATATAGATTTTAAAATTAGCTAGAAAATGGTTGACATATTCATATTTATATTTAAATTGTGAAGCACCAATTCAAATATTTTTGTTAAGACGAATAGCGACGAAATGTGGACAAACCGAACAATCAAAATTGAGTTAATAACTGTTCACTTCACTCGTTTTATGTACGTAACATATTCTAAACTAGAGATAATTAAGATTCATATAAACAAAATTATGTGAAATCATACAACTGTGTACTTGATTTTGTCAAATTCAAACAAGGTCCAGTTAGAAAAACCTTATCATGTTCAAAGCCTGTTGTTTAGTTTATGAAAAGTATAAATATCAAAAGAATGGTCAAATTTATGGATCGCATTTAACCACAGATTTTTCTACAAAGTTCTAATTTTGTTGAACATCATGTTAATCAAATGAAGTGAACTAATTTAATACAAGCTGATTTATAGGGAGTGAAAGCAGAATAACTATATTTAGGGGACTAATAATACCAACGATGATATACTCAATTCAACACTGCTGACATATACAAGTTTGAATGGTCAAAACAGAATTAAAACATTTACGTACGCAGTTAAGACTTTTGATGAACTTTGTGATCGACCAAAACCAAATCTTGTTTCCACTCGCTTGAAAATTGACGGTTTCGATGTCTCTCTGTTGTCAGTCTTGGTTAGATTTCGCTTCAGTTGAATGTTAGTTGTCGCGACTTCAGTAACCGGTTTTTGTAAGTCTTCCGCATAGTGAAACTGAACAAGGGAATTGATTAGATCATCTGAGAAATTTTTATTATCTCCTGCATTGATAGGGTCCTGAATGTTTTTTGGATTTGTTTCACTGGATAATCCAGTATTTGGTACAAGGATTGGTTGGTTTTCATTACCAGGACAAGGTGGCGGATGAGCTGTCACAATAACAACTCGATCTAGTTCATCAATCATTTCACAGTTTCGTGCCACAGAAATAGAGGTAAGAATATGATCACCTGAAAATAATATTTGACATGAATAATAGAAATTAATACTAAATATTTGTTATTAAATTAGTTTATATCGACAGACCGTAAAAGCTTGGCATTGTAACTAATATCCATAAAAAATACAGGAGTACTTTTGTCGATTTTATCCCAAAAAGCAACTATCAATTCATTAAAGTAATTGGACACAGACTGTCAGAGAACATCAACTTCTTACACTCACGACTACTCATGTAGCGAAACCGATTTGTACTTTGACTGTACGAAGCTGAAACTTGGAGAACTACTACAACAATCGTTATCGAAAAAGTACAAGTATTTATAAACGATTGTCTACTCAAGATACTCGATGTTTGTTGGCCAGATACAGTCAGTAACAGACTATTGTGGGAGTGAACTAACCACATTCCAACTGAAGAGAAAATCAGGAAAAGACGTTGGAGGTGGATAGGACATACATTGGGGAAATCATCAAACTGCATCACGAGGCAAGCGCTTAGCTGGAATCCTGATGGGAAACGGAGAAGAAGATCGAAGAATACAATGCGCTGGAAATCGGAAGCAGACAGGAAAAGGAAGAATAACAACTTTAAACAAATGGAAAGAAATGCCCAGGACCAAGTTTGATGGTGAATACGGCCTATGCTCATCCACAAGGTTAACAGGCGCAGGAAGGTAAGTTATGGTTGAAATAGTAAAAATTTCAGGGGAAGGAATTTGTGAAATTATTTTAAAGTAATTGTCGCTTTAGTTTTTTAAGGCAGACAACAGTGTTAAGTGTGTGAGCCGAAATTATATACAAATAACGCTAAAAACCAACTTATGAACTATTTACTTCACACCTTGAAAATGTTAAGCCTCGCTTGTACTATTATAAATATATTAGTCGGAAATGCTTCAATCTTAAGTTATCATGCTATGATGATGGAATCAACAAGACATGACTAAATGCTTCTATCATTCTGTCAACTTATTTATTTATTTGATCTGCATCACTATTACTGTCCAGTTTTATAAGACAATTAATGTCGATTTACTTATAATTTCAGATCTATTCATACTATTATATCAACACTCCTACCCCAGAATGATCTAGAAAAATAGACTGATGTTCAAAATGAGTTAAGAAGGAAATTATGAACTGATGGTTCTTTAGATTATTGTTGTCATATATACGGTACAAGTACGTTTGCATGAAGGTAATTCGGAGCATATTAAAATAAAAAGAAAGGGCCATATTAACCAATACCTCTTGAACTACTTTTGTACAAGAATTTATAGGTGAAAGTAGTTACGTTTCAAGCATTTACCATTACATTTAGGGACTTAATGATGTCGCGTTCACCACAATGATCCCGGATACTGATTAATTCTAAAATAGGGCAAAATAATTGTTTAGGTTTATTTTATTTCAATCATTCACCAGCCAATTTCAGTCAGACACACATGCATTCTTTAAATAATAAGATTCTTCACGAATCCACTTAATCTCATGTCAAGTAGTACGAACAAACGAAATTAGAATTTAGCATTCCTCCATAAATAACCTCACACTGCTGAATATTCCAAAAGAGCCAGAGAACATTCACATGGCTGGCTATGTCTACTAGAGAAAAAGTGAAGAAGAACCTTCACCACTTATACCAGGTCAGTGAAGATGAATAGGCCAAAAGTATAAGTTGAAAACCCTTGAGACGATCGCCTGCTTCAGTTTGAAGCATTTAGCACTGCAACAGTTTTTCTATATGTCGTCTCAATAGGACCGTTTTTAGTGACGTTCTGACTCTGGTTTTTCAGTAAAAGGTTTATACTCTATTTTTGTTCAGCTTAGGCTTTTCCAGTTGACGACATTTGGCGATTTTCCGCAGTCATCGATATCTCCGATTATCCTCTTACTTCCGGTGGTAAATACATACAAGTGATGATTACTTTTGGTAATGTATTCAGGCTTAATGATTGTAATTTATTCGGTATTATCTTCTCGAGTTGACCGCTTCAGTAACTTGGATCTATTTCACGAATATCGTTACAGAAGCCTTAATACCTTCTATAATTCACAGACTTTTGTACGCGATGAATAAAAAGAAAAGGAAGTTCATATAGCGTTATCTGTATTAGTATAAAACTCACTGATCTAAGGCAGTCATATATGGCTCATAATAGAGGCTAGTACTGATTTCCTCATGGCATTCAATTATATATCTCACAAAAGCAAGGTGCATCTTCTTAACTAAACGTAACCGACCTCGGTTGTTTTCGTTATTGGACTGCATATCTTGTTGATTTATCTATTGGCTGTACGACCTCTCCCTATCTATTCCACGACACTGTTTCCGTTTCCTATAGCGAGGTGGACTGTTGGTGTCCCACTTACATGTAGTCAAAATCTTACCAGGTATTCTACTAAAATGATGCTTGGGAGCAAATAATGATGAAATCACCTGTTACCATAACCGGTCGTATATTCGCCTGGCGTAGAGTTTTAATAACCGGACCAGACTCAGGTTTCAGTCGATTCTCCATCACCAGTAGTCCCAGAAACAAAAGATTATGTTCAACTCGGTCACGCGATATGCGCATAATACGCAAATATGATGCCTCGATGGGTCGCCAAGCCAATGCCAGAACGCGAAAGCCTTTCCGAGTGAATTCCAACAAATTCGAGCGGAAATTAGTAGGTACTACAACGAAACATTTTATTAAACAACACTCATTATGACAAATTATATTACACGATTTTTAATATACATTTATTATTACATGTTGTATGTTTAACTCATGAATTATCATCATTTGTTGCTAATATGTTTAATCAAATTAATAGTATTGCTCATATTACAACAAGCAGATACGTCTTCAAGAGGTTTATTGTGATTTAACTTAGTGAATGAAAAATACCAAACGGAAATTTGGATGAACAATGCTATAAGTACGCCATAATTGTCAAAACTCTAAATGAGTATACCTAGAAACTACTGTAAAACTACAGTAGTAAATTTATGACTTCAACACCTAGGTATCCTGAAGTGCATTTTTTTGAAAGAATCAAATTATAATTCAAATTTCATGCTATAATCATTAAAACATACTGTTTTAATAAAAAGTGAGATCATTTAATCGATCAGAAGAATTTAGTCTGGCTTAAACCTTTAGTTTACTTCTGATGGAAACAACTATTTCAATTAGACGATTATTGTGCCCTTGTAAGATGAATAAAAGTTTATGAGCAACAAAATTTACAGCCTGATGATACTTCGGAAAATAACGTTCCATATATTGGCGGTTTAATGCGTTATCCGGTGATAAGATTTGTAGAAGCTGAGAACTTCCACATTTACACGTAACTCATGTGCGCTTTAGAAAGCGGTTGGCTCTACTTCTATATAGTTAGATTTGTCATGTACACTTCCTTCTTAATATTTTCAAAATAAAGGAAATATTATTTCTTAGAATTATAAAATAACATAATATGTATTCATACATAAAAGTGGTTATTTACTTGTATCATGTCGACACAAAACTTCAATTGTCTCTGGAGCACCCTTTGTATATATATGAAATTGAGATTCTTTTAAAGTACGTGTTATCACAGACATCCGTTGTACGGACGAACTGAAAGGGAACTGACGTACTATGCCGATCTCATATGGTATTTTCTAAAAATGAAATGCACACAAATTAGTCACTAAGTTTAAACTACGATCTATGAAAAGTAACCTATAGTACAAATGTTCTCTAAGAACAAGCTACTTTTTGATTTATTTACATCTTATATTCTGAACAATTCTTTCTTCTTGAAGCCGGTCAACAAATCGCCTATACTGGCTGACCCAGTCTAACTTTTGGTGGAAGGTGGAATAGCTGTTCATTCCTGCAAATTGAATATTCAATAACTGTGAGTAGATAGAAATCATTTTAAGGAAACATAGAAGACTAGTCAATTGTTCAAACTTAACAGCACATTTTATAGTTAGATGCTTCGGTTAAGACTAAAGCACACATACTTTATTTCTATGTCATACACAGATACCTTAAATTTGTCAAGGATAAATAGAGGAGAATTTTCAAAAGTTATATATCATTACATCGCAAGCACATGTGGAAAGCAAGTTTTACAAAAGAAAACCTCAGAGAGAACTTCTACATGTTGATTCTTGAGTAAACAATGAAAAACTAGGTCAACATAACAAAACTCCTGACATAGAGATTCGGTAGACCAGCTTTAGAAGGTCCTGGAAAATAAAAGCAGTGGGGAAAATGCTCCAAATGAATAATTAGTGAAGCCTTTTCACCAATTTATAAGGAACTGTTATTAGGGAAGACGGATTAACAATATTTAACTATATTAGTTAAAATCTTATTTGAAACTGAAACGTACTTCAAATATATTTCCATATTCATCTTCTTTGGGACGTACGATTGCCGATATAACTAAATCAAAATTATGTTGATCTTCCGAAATAACTTCAATAAATTCCTACCAACCAAAATCGATAATGTGCCAGTAAATATAGAAAAAAATCAATATACAGCCTTATGTGCATTTGAATTAAATTGATAACGCTACAGTTTAGCTAACAGAAATATTTATTTAAAAGAAATAAAAACAGACTAAAGATTCTATACACCTTTACAAGGACAAAACAATTGAAACGCTACAAAAAATCTCATGACTTTGGAGCTATTTTTTCGAATTAGTGTTAGAGATACTTCGAGAAACGTATCCAGCTCGAATATATTCACAGAATTTTATAACCTGATACTTTGTGTTCAGTTTCTTACAAGACTGATTTTTCAAGTGTTTCGATGTGATATATTTTTTACACAATATAGAAGACAACAATTCACTCAAATAGTCGGTGAGATGTTAAAATTTAGTCTGCGTTTTGTGTACCGTTAGGATATTTGCTTAAAATACCTGAGAATATTCATAGATCCTTTTTAATCCCTTTATAGTTATACCATATTCGGCAAAATGTAAGTTTTTGAAAGAAATATTTGGCTAAGAGGTCAATATCTAGTCAGGACACACAATATGAATTCCTACACAACTGAAAAGTGAAAAACATATAAATATAATTAGATCAACTGTTTAATGAAGAAAATGTCCCTATTTTCTACCATTTTCTTCATTCTATTGCTTCCTCATGAACAGAGTGAGATGAAAAACCAAACTATGCACCGTTAACTAAATTAGCGGTAGTCAGGTAAAGATGAAAATTAAGAATAGTAAGCCACATTTCCTATGAAAGTATGCAAATAACACTGGGAGAACTGTAAGAGCTACAAAAAAACTATTAGAAAGACATTTCATTGGGTACTGTAACAAACAAACACTTCACAAAATAGTAATATTCCAACCACATAACTTCATTCAGCCTCCACAGCTATTAACATATTGTACTCACAAGCTAGTACATAAATGCAAAGTAAACCACTTGTAAAACGCTCAACTGATCCTAGTCATCTGTATTAAGAGATGCTGTGACACTACCGGTGTTTAGTGTGCAACGGCGTACAATTAATTTTATTTGCAATAACATAAAAATAAATGTAAAAATGCAGTGTTGGACAAATATGTCATTTCTTCTTCCACGTGTTATCATGTCATAAATATCTTCGTTAGGAACCCAGCTGCCACGTTCTGCTCAATAATTATTCAATTCAAATTTAGCTAAAATGAGTAGATAGAGAGCCAAGAGTATCGCTTTCAAGCTGAAAGTCTACTCAGGAAACTACCTTGATTATAATTTTAGATACGATTAATGAAGCAAATAATAATCTTGTCACGAAATAAAGCCACGGTATGAACTTCATAAGTTATGTTTTTGTTCCGGCTATTATCCTTATAAACACCAAGCGTGGAGTAATTATGGAATGGCTTATGGGTGAAAATAAATTGTACCTCACAATTATTGGTATTGCTGTACTGACATAAATTTGTGAACAGATACAGCCAAATCGTCCCCAACATCATCCCATCATCTGCATAGAACATCGAGGTCACTGGCTAACATACTTGTATTTAATTGTTAATCTTTCAAGATAAATTTCTATGGAAATTATATGTCCCACCTGTTAGCTGCACTTGACAGACGTAAACACAACAAATGACTCTAAAAAAGTAGTTATTATAATTCCTGCAAAACCATTATAATTCCCATTTAAACATTAAAATTAAAACACAGATTTCAGCGAAGGGATCTCTTTTCAACGAATTTATTCTCAAGCTGTACAATCGTATATATATATATATGAAAATGTTTTGTTAAAGTAGTAATTCCGTGAGGAAATGTGAACACTAATAACCAAGATTATAATACTGGATTACGTAATATGAATAACAACAATAGATTTAGTGAATATAGTAAGACGGATAAAATGTTTTGGTTACAATAATTAAAGGTCATTAAAGGTCATAGAGGTGTAAAATAAATAAATAAATAAATAAGGTGATGAGTATTCATGAATAAAATAATGAGAATATAAAACATAAGTAAAGGGGGAATGGAGTAATAATAATAATAAAAGAATGATAATAGTAATAATAATAATATTAAGGCCATGGTAACGATAATGATAAAACGTACTTCTTTTGTACGCATAGTTCTGGTTTTTTCTTCGGATCAAACTTTTAAAAATAGCCGAAGCTCTTACCATCCATGAGCTCAAACCAGAACTATGCGTACAAAAGAAGTACGTTTTATCATTATCGTTACCATGGCCTTAATATTATTATTATTACTATTATCATTCTTTTATTATTATTATTACTCCATTCCCCCTTTACTTATGTTTTATATTCTCATTATTTTATTCATGAATACTCATCACCTTATTTATTTATTTATTTATTTTACACCTCTATGACCTTTAATGACCTTTAATTATTGTAACCAAAACATTTTATCCGTCTTACTATATTCACTAAATCTATTGTTGTTATTCATATTACGTAATCCAGTATTATAATCTTGGTTATTAGTGTTCACATTTCCTCACGGAATTACTACTTTAACAAAACATTTTCATATATATATATATATACGATTGTACAGCTTGAGAATAAATTCGTTGAAAAGAGATCCCTTCGCTGAAATCTGTGTTTTAAAACCATTATATCCAACGATTGAAATACAGTGATCAAATGGAATCCAGTTATTGTTAGCTTATCCATAATTATGAAAGAAGTAAAAGACTTGCTCAGTACAGTTGTAGTTCTCAATAAGGTGAGGAAAACAGGGACACTACAATAGCTAGATAACATCGAGTGAATGATTTCAGTAAAGTTCGGAGTTCAGTTATGAGAACTCGAAATCAGATCACTAGTATAAATGTAGTCACTTCTGACATAAATAATTGTAAATATGTATCACTCATCATCCTAATGAACGTGAATTACACAGTTATTTTTGTCTCTTTAAAATATAAAGTTTATGTATAAATTATTTTAATCATTCAAAGATATAAAACCTACCCATTTGGTAGACTGGAACATTTTCATATCCAAGGGGTCACCCGATAAGACGCCATCTATTAGAGTCAGTGAATGACAAGTAGCCATACATTCAATCAAAGGTCCATAATCTAATTTTGATGGCTCGCATTCAGGCTTTCCAAGAATTCCATCTCTGTTTGGTATGACACCCCACAGATCTAACCCATCTTCAGTTAGAGTACCAGTCTAATTTCACAAAACGAAAGATAATCAAGGGCATTAAACAACAAACTATTTTAAGATATAACTAGTTCCTTTGAAAAACCACCAACTTTGATGTTGCTTAGTTAATGGAAAAGTCAGTTCTAAATGTATCGACAGACGCAGTAACCAAAATGTTTGGATAGATAGAGGATCATTCCTTCACTAATGTTCCACATTTGTATTTTAAAACATTTCTGTTCCAAATATAATTTTTATCGAAAGAAATATTTTTAATAAATATATTTTTCTCCAAGAACCGTGTGTGATGGCAATAATCCAAAGTGTACAAACCATTCTTTCTTATGTGGAACAGTGGAACAACTATGAACAGTGACTTTAAATGACACACCAAGTGTTATTTTCAAATAAAATTATCTGTATAATAAACTGTACAGTACAATTTCAGAAGTGAAACAACCGACAGTACAAATATAGCGGCAATCATTTTAAGCTACAGCCAATCCCATTAAAACATTCACCACGTTATTCGTGCACTGAGACTTTTAGTAGTGATACCACAGACAGAACACTAGCTAAACCATATTATGTAAACCAGTACACACAATATATATAAAATGTAATACTTTAAAAATAGTACAATCTTTATGGAAAGAGATTAGTGTTCAGTGAAGACATAACATCCAAAGGACGAAAGAAATCACATTATCCGAAACATTATAGTTCACTGTCCCAGATAAACTTAGGTTCATGGATTTAAGAGAGGAAAACTAACAAAACCTTGGTATCTCAAAAATTCTGATTTTCCTGAAGCAAAACTGAAAGAAGTAAATGAGTACTGTTAAATGACGGTTTTATACTTTTTTAAAGAGTTTTGCATACAAAAAACTTTATTGGAATTTATATCTCTTTATGCTTTATTCTCAAAACCCACACATTTCTGTTTGTTTATTGAATTTCTCAGAAAATCCAAATGTTCTGAATCTCAATATGATTTACTAATTAACCTCTAACAGTTTGATAACTCGTTTATTTTTGAATTCCCGCGTAATACATCAATGTCCTATGATGTTAATACTAAACTGAAACACCAGTTATTAGATAAAAAAATTATCAAGCCACTGAAACGATTAGGATCACGCAAAGCGATATTTACACATTGTACGGATGTATTGTATTGCATTCTAAACAATTGAGTTCTTTGCCGTACAAACATGAGAGCAACTAACAAGTTAACGCATTTTCACCAATTCGCTCTACAACTTCATTTTTTTCCGAAAAGTAGATGTACACTGATTAGAATTCACGTGCTTTATTGAAAAGTTCGAAGTTTAAGACAAAACCAACGAGTGAACGCCTTTGCGTTTGATAAATACCTTTAGTCAGAATTTTTCCCTGTCGAAATATCCAGTCTCAACATTATGAACTTCAAGTAGTCTTTTACACATATGATCTCCCAAATAATGACAAGAGATTACCAAACAGATATGTTAAAATACACGTCCCTCGTGACTTTCGGCATTCTTGTCAAAAGATCTAGGTAAAGAAGACAAATCATTTGATGATACGGTGATCTACCATTAACCAATTTTTAAACTGGTGGTTGGTTGAAAAACCCACATGATGAACAAACTGAAGTTTGTCATCAGAAAATCAGATCATTAAATCATTGTCAGAAGTGTGTTATCAAACGAAGTAATTACAATCAAAATCTCTACGAATTTAGAGACTTTAGTGACATGGTAACAACAATGTAAACATGTTTACCATTTTTCATTCTGCTGATTATGAACAGCTCAGCACTCAATGCGAATTCATTATGATGAGTTATTAAATGTTTCTCATCATTTTTTTCATTCTAAATGTCAGTAAAAAATACTGTACATTAAATGTTATCTAGCAAGATTCTACTTTTATTATTTTTTGCTCGTTTACCAATTTATACCAGATTACTCTCTGGATATATAATGAATTAAACTGAATCTCTGACATGCAAGGCTCTATTTCGTTGATTGTTTGAAAGTCGAAGACTTCATCTTCCCACTTTTTTACAAAACATGGCGGCAAAAGTAGACGTCCATTAGGTTAAAAATACAGAGCAATTATTCATCTCCAATTACCAGCACGCATACTTTCTACTGAGTAATTTGTTTTTGCTTCATCTTAATACAATAGTCCAATAACTTCGTGAAAAGAATCGACCACACTCTCATCATTAAAACAAATAATCTGGTAAACAAATTAAAAACATTATATCTAAAAAAATATAAAAAGTAACACACCACAAACCTTATCAAAACAGGTGAGATTAATCACACCACAAACATTCATAACACTTGGATTTATGCAATAAATACCATGATTACGAAGTCGCCGTTGAGCGAAAACGATTCCAACACTCATCGCCACTGGCAGAATAGGTGGTATCACGATCGTTACCAAGTCCAATGGTCTCAAAATAATGTAGTACAAATCCTTCTTATTCCAATACTAGTTGAAATCAACATTTAAAATTTAAAAATCAAAATTTGTTTACAAAATGAAGCTTATAAAAAGAGACAAATTATAATGAGTTATATAGTAAATCCAGTGTTTAAATGACAATAAAATTTACAATAAATCAAATGATGGTACATAGATTTAACACTAAAGGGAATAAGTATACTAATACAACATTTTGCAACTGAAATTAATCAATTTCGGAAATATTTATAGGGCTAATTTTACAATGTTTGGTTACAGATTCAAGCGAATACCGGATAAAAACACATATTCTTCATTGGAAGTCAAATGGATACTTCAACACTAACCTGACTGCTATTAATAAAGAAACCGCTATCAAACCTTTAATTTTTAAAAAGTTACTCATAGCAAATTACTAGATGTAAAGTAATCCACTGTGTTACATACTACAGAGAAGCCAAACAAACATTGTACATGTAATCCTTTGTATTTGCCAGTCGCTGATTTTCAGAACAAAATTTGATCTGAGTTCCATTGAGAGTGCAAACTATGGAAACTATGAAATAAATATCTATCCAATTGACGATTTCCAAGTACAAGAGAACATGGTTTCTGTACTCCTCTTCTATACGTGACACAAAACATAACAAAAATTGTATGTGCAATATTTAGCAGAATCAAATCCTTATGGTTGAGTGGGTGGAATGGAATTACAGAACTTGTAGGGATGTATTTCAATGTAACGACGTTGGAATACGTGATACAATCTTGAGTTACATATCCCCTGAGGTTTAAAGTAAACTGAGTTTTTTAAAGGAACAAACAAAGATATGTTAACCTTTTTAAGGAAATCAAAATTCAAAAGATATTTCATTATTTATACAAATAAACTATGAGTACTTTTCTGTAAATGGATTGAACCATAACTCAAGACTAAAATTCTGATGATAATAATATGTGCGAAACAAGATGCAGGATCACACTACTTGGTTTTGTAGAGTGCACTCTAAAGTATTGAGTAACATATTTTGACAATTCATAAATTAATGGGATTTTTCTAATTCCCTTTATTGTATGTTAACTTATTCTGTGAAATAAATAAAGGCGATGAGGAACTTACCATGAGATAAATAGTGACACACAGACCAACAAGCGCCACTCCACAAAGGGCTCCTAAGAACTGATAGACATCCTGAGTAAATTTAAACTTCATAGGTTTTGGAAACATGATAGATCGCACAAGTTCTCCTTTAGTGGTCATAAATCCCGTTCGGATAACTACCGCCAAAACACGCTTATTTACGTCACCACGTGTCTGAATGACTGATGTGCCACTGAAGAGAATATGTCGTGGGCAAGAATGAAAATCAAATGTAGTATTTTCAGATTGTCCATTGGGAAGTGGGATTTTTGTAATTGGAAGGCTTTCACCTAATGTCCGATAAAATATTTACGATAACCAGTTAGCACATATTTTATTTGATCAATTTAAAAGAAGCTTCATATAAGTGATTTATTTCCCTTGAGCGACAAACTAAAGCTTAAATTTCATGCATCCGTTTAGCGATAGAGAAGTGAATTAAAAATTAGATGGATCCATATTCGTAGTTTTGTATTAGCTTCAAGTGACCAATAGAAAAAGAGTGTGAGCGAAATTTCGCTACCTTGGTAGTCAGTTGTATGTTTGTTAAACTGGTTAGTTTCGCTTATTTGGTGACTTCAAATCTGTGAATTATTCATCATATCAGATAAATTATTACTCATTTTTCCATGATTTATTTTTCAGATTACCTGCTTAGCTTTTATCCTTGCAACACAACCATGAATTTCAACTATGCCATGATATTTTTTTAATTCCAATAACTTTTCATGTCTGAAGCTAGTGAGACGCCATGTGATTAAAATGAATTAATTTAATTATGTACATATATTTCTTATTTCTTCGCTATAATTCTCTATCATGGTAGACATTGAATGTGTTTTTATTATCCTCACTGATACAAATGGTGAGGTAATAACGCAAATGTTTTTTATGAATAATTACATGATAATTTTAAACAACTAAATTACTTGCACAAACAGTCATTCATTAGATTGCATATACAGTCAAATAAAAAAGATCCTAAACCCTGGAATTACAAACATTTCAACGTGCCTCCATATGAAACTTAATCAAATACAGTAGATTCTGCACAAATGTGTACAAGTTAAGTGGCCATAATTTTACAATACACAAGAAGAGAAGAAAAGTAACAAAATTTATCAGGATTATGAGTCAAATTCGATTCAAATTGTTATTAAAAGTACCAGAAAATTAACCTGAAACACAACTTATATTTAAAAGATTATTGGAAATGATTCCTCATTCTTTTGTATCAGGTATATTAATAATAGTGTACATACAACATTGTTTCCCAAATTAAAGATTTACAAATGCTATTGTGGTCGGTGGTATGTATATAAAAATAAATCGCTATAATAATTCTATAATCATCCAGAAAAAAGACGGCTTGATGTTTATATACCGTGCAAGTTGTGCCTATATTACTGACATTCATAAGAACTTAAAAATGAGTTGATAATTTAAAAATAACTTAGAATACAACAGTATAACTTACATAGAAATATATGAATTTTGATTGGTCGTACTACCGACTACGAACAAAACAACTACCTTGAATACATAATCACCTGGTAATATTTAAAGTGATTTATATGTACTCTTTTGTAAAAGTAAGCAACTGCGCTACGTATATTTACAAGTTACTTCTGAGTCATGTAAATCTTGAAGAATCTAATAATACGACAGAATTCACCTGATGTTTACATTTATCCACAGAGTTAAGTAGTAGTAGTAGTAGTAGTAGTAGTAGTAGTAGTAGTAGTAGTAGTAGTAGTAGTAGTAGTAGTGGTAGTAGTAGTAGTAGTGGTAGTAGTAGTAGTAGTAGTTCTGTCGTCATTCTAATAGTCTGGACAGAGAGTAGATAATGATGATGGATGTAAGCTCACTTATACCTGACTTTCTGAATGTTGGTTTTTTGATAAGTCTGAAACGTTGCCTGCTGTTACCTTTCGCCACAGCCTTTTCCATTTTCTCTAAATTCGCTACCCACCACTATTCACAATCAAACATAAACCTTTTGTCAACTTAAATTTTATTTGCCTTCTCTACTTATCGTGTTCAAATCCTAACGAGACGAGCTTCTGAGCATCTATGAATTCAAGAAACGCCACCGAAATCCACTGATGTCACTTCACCTTTCCGTTCATGTCACTGGTAGATATCAACATAGCTCATACAACTGTTCAGGTATCAAGCCAAAATACATAGGAATGAACATTACTTTGATGATTGGCCAACTGCTTCTCCAGTTTTTACTGTAATACAATTTCGGTTTTTTCATTATCAAGGGTATTTTTATGTGGCTCTTCTATGTTTAGTGACATTGTGGCGAACAGGCCCTTGCAAGTTTGATCACAGTTTATGTATGTACTCCAAGATGAGAGATAGGCTTATGCAGACTCTGTCTAACAATGACTAGTAGCGATGAGGTCTATTTGGGTCCATTACTAAGTCCATTTTCGAGGTTGTCAGGTCGGAAGATGTCTTTTATTCTGTTTAAAGTTGGTGCTCGTTCAAACTAAACGGTAGAAGCACCCGGTCCTCATTATCTCTTCACAGAGCTGAGACACTGTACTACTTACCTAAATGTTTTTCGATACGGTTTAGAACACACAATCGAGCATTAAACTTACCAGCTACGATTACTACATCTGAGCATCTAGTCTTTAGAGGGTTAATATCTTTCAGTAAAACTCATATTCTACACTGTCCAAAATGCAGTCGGTGGTAGCGAAGGTAGAGATTACAAAGAGACACTGCTTTCTCTACCTGTCCAAATAAACTGTGAAAACAGGCTTCTTGAAATACCGGTCTGCTTCTATATTTTTTGCGAACACTATGGTAGCACTTTACTAACAAAGATGAAGCTACGTTTTCAGTTTAAAAATTAAAAAAAACTAGAACTCAAATGAATAAGTCTATTTTAAATTTTTATGATGAATTTAAGATCAAGACAATTTTAAACGGATTCGAAAATTACTATTTCTTAAGACCTACCTGTTAAGCTACTTTCATCCACGATGCAGTTCCCCACCAGTAATACTGCATCACATTGCATCAAACATCCACTACTGGGAATGGCAATTAAATCTCCTGGCACCAATTCGGTTGAATCGACAAGCATAAAATCTAATCGTTAGAAAACAAAAATACACATAAATCGTTTTCCCTATCCTTGTTTGGTGAAAGCAGCTGCATAATACACTCTATTTGGTTGAATCAGCAGTTGTTGTTTCCTAGAGTAAAAGTAAATATAACAGGTAGCTTCTGCCTGAGGAAGTTAACGCTTTTCAAATCAGCTATTTTTTGTAGCCAGTAGAAGGACTTTCACTTTGATTCCTTCAGTCAAATAAATGCGGTATACCTTAAATA